TGGGCATGGTTGTTCTTCCCTTATATCTCGTGTATGTGTGGAAATCTCATGTATGTGGTCTCGCAGTGGGCCTCGCTTTTTGCTGATACCCGACCAGAGGAGACCATATGTGTGTTGGTGTCCAGTGTATGGTAGAATGTGCGTCCCACCGGAGTGTAAAGGGTAACCTGCTTTCGGCTGGAGAAACGTCCTAGCAAGAAGACTAGTAGCGGCTCGTGCATGCTTCTTAAGAAGAAATATAAATTTTGCCTAAACTTATTTAAATGAAATGTTAAAGAAATTATATCGCACGCATCGATATCCGATGGGATAAAAGGAGTACCTATAAAACCTATAGTTTTGATTTGCGTCGTCACCCGTGCTTCCGCCAGGTGTGTAAGATTATAGCGTGCTCATCTCTGCCTACGTCCTGATTCTGGTCGTATGCCTCTGAGTGGCAGATCAAGAGAGGAACTGCTGTTCCATTGTCGCAGGGCTCCATTGAAAACCCTTTCTCTTCTGGCCACAGGGGTACTGTGAGATAGGGCAGCTACGACACGAGAAGAGGAAGCTCTTAAATGATCCTACTCGAAGCGATTTCGATCGCTTTCCCGTCGCTTATATTACTTTACTGTACTTTAAAAATCCATGGAAGCCCATTCATTCATTGCTATAAAATAAAACAGATCTACATTTTTCCTCAAACACCAAAGCCAGTAATGGCCATTATATTAAAAAAAGGAAATATGTGAGGAGGATTTCAGATAGGAAAGAGGGAGGAGGTAAGGGAAGTAAGCAGAGAACGGCAGGAAATCACAAGTAACGAGAATAGTTCACATTAATTAGATCGCTGGTGAGGTAGATACCTTCTAATATTTAAGTATGAAAATAAAAGATGTTGCCTGGTATCAACATATTGATACCAGACACATAATTAATTTATCAAACTTCAATAGTCCAGATATTTGGAAACGTTTTCGGTTTTGGAAGTTGGCGGTGAAAGTACCGAGCGTTAGGTACGCACACAATGTTAGGAAGGGCCGCAAAGTTAGAAAAGCAACCAGTGTCAAGAAAGCACTTAGCGCCAGAGGGTAAGATTCGTTACATCTGTAGAAATGTTACTAGATAGCTACCTCCCTTCATTGATATTGATAAGCACGAACATCTGAATCTATATTAATTTATACAGAATTAACAGATTCCGGCCAGTCAGCGTGACGTGAGGTTAAATGTACACATTTGAATCACACATGGACTCATTTTACAATGCTTACACAACAAATAAAATGGCCCAAGACCACTGGTTGGAATTGTTGATTCAAGCCTATCTCTTGGTCCAAGGGCCCCTAGGACTTTCAATGCGCGTCTAGTGACGTCGCAATGTGCGAGTGAGTGCTCACCTGGCAGGCGTCGCGCCCTCCTTCCGCGTAGCCAGCACAGACCATGCGCGAGGTGATGCGCAGAGGGTAGTACTTCTTGCAGGCGGCGTTGTCCAGGAGGGGCAACTCCACTTCCTGCAGGACGAGGGGAGCGGCGCCTTCCTCCTGGGGAGAACAGGTGAAAAAGTCATGAGAACTGTGGCTTGTTGGGCACAAACTTCGATAAGTGTTCTAATCTAAATGAATTTAAACACCTCTACATATAATATTCAATATATAATGTATAAAGTAAACGAAGTATGAATGTATTTGCCATTTAAGTGGCCGATTAATCAGACTTTTGTCAACTAGCGGCGTTTCCTGGCCGGTATCCATTGGGACAAATAATATATAAAATTAATTATATACTAATAAGCTTATGGTTTTATACCATTTTAGGCACCATCGACACGAGACTATGCTACTACTTAATAAGTAATTACCCCTCAGTTCTGTATAAAAAAATTCCGCTGAAAAACGTACGCGTAATAACCACAAAAGGCACTTAATCAATCCAAATCTCGCAATATGCTGCACACGATACCAACATGCATATATAGGAAATGTAGAACTTTAGTGTCTCAAAAACAGATTAAAGAGCTACGAGTATTTATTGTGCTGTAATTTATAAAATGAGACTCTTTTGGTTATTCTATCACGTCCATCCTCACTTTCAGAAATAAAGCTTAACTTTTCATATTCTTTGATAATCTTTCATATGAG